GGACAGCACTATTAAGCACTTTTTGAAGTAAAGTCCTCCCTTTGTTACCCAGAGGCAGCTGGGGATACTCCTTTTTTTATTCCTCCCTTTTAGGGTGTCTCTGTGCTGTAACTTTGCACTTGCGCTCAACTTGCAGTGCCAAGCAGCTCCAAACCATGAGCCATGGCATGTAGGTGAAAGCAGTCCCAGGCTTTAAGGCATCATCCAGTAAAATCAAACTGAAGAAGAGAAGGTTACACTCATTAAAACTTGGATCTGCTGCTTTTAACTTGGAGAGACATCCCTCCATAAATCCTAGAGTCTCCTTATTGGTCCAGGTTGCATACTGTAACAGAGAAAGGCAATTGCTAGAAAGCAGATGATGCTGAACTTCTTGTCATTCGCACAAGCAAGTCAAGCTCAAAAGTAAGCAAGCCAAAAGAGGAAAAGAGAAACTCTATTTTCAGGTAAAAGTTAGCTTAGTAGGATGATGGAGATCCTGGCTTCTTTAAGGCAAGCCGGCAAGTGGAAGAACTTACATTCTAGGGGCTATGCAGTTTATGTCTGGTGGTAGATTTTCCAGTGTTGAGTAGAAAGAGTTGACTGGCTGGACGTTTGCCCTGCAGCTGCAGTATTTAGCATAGCTCTCTGAAAGAGAGATTTTTTATTATTTTTATTATTTTTATTATTTTTTATTATTTTATTTTTAATTATTTTTAATTATTTATTTTTAATTATTTATTTTTATTTTATTATTTTATTTCTATTCTTATCTTTTATTTAATTATTTTTATTTATTATTTTATTATTTTCAATTTCATTATCTTATTTAAATTTCACGAATTTATTATTTCCTTATTTTTATTCTATGATCACTTTTATTCTATGATCACTTTTATTCTCTTATTATTTAGATTCTATGATCACTTTATTCTATTTTCACTTTTATTCTATTATTATTTTTATTCTGTTATTACTTTTATTCTATTATTATTTCTATTCTGTTATTATTTCCCTTCTCTCATTCTTTTACTCTATTATTATTATTTTCCCCTTT